CTCTAGATTAGAGAAACACGGCCTCGTCTCATTTAATCAAGTCTGCCTTGTGAGCAGTCTTCATCAATGATTTCATTGCATCGATCACCGTGCAAACGTAGTTCATCTAAGCAGTCAAAATAGCGCCCGTCGCGATTTGTAAAGGTGCCACCATATCCTAGTGCCTTTGCTACGCAGTGCAATGTTAAGTGTGACACACATTCGCTCAATCAATATGGTGCACGTAACACGTCAAAGTTACACGCAGGAAATAAACAAAACTTGGTTGAAAGGTCGGAGTTGAGGCTTGGCTATAGACCCCAGAGATCAGGGTGTGCCCACACTGCACATGGTCGTTACCTTGCCAAAGGTTCGTCATTTCCGATTTCAAATGTTGCCAATTCTATATGTGTTAGGCGGCGCGCAGAGTGAGCTTGGTTTTGATAAACTGTAAACACAGGAATGAAGAGCTTTTATTTTTTGTAATGCCCTCATGCACTATGCCATAGTTGTTCAGATAGTAAATAGCGTGGTTGGCACTGGCTCAACTTTCGCTGCGAGACTTCATTTGGCGAGTAGGTGGGTTTACAAGGCTTGCCCAGTGTCAGAAGTCGGACAGGCAAACCACAGGTTTATCAACCTATTTAAAACTTATTTTTGAGTCCCATTATGCAATGTTAGACATTGTGAAGCCAATACACGACGCAGTTTTGCGAAGTTTTTGAGGTAGCTATGTTGAGAAATGAACTTGTGCACCTTTGAGAGTGCAGCGGAACAAACACAAAAGAAAAAGACATTTAAAAAGGATGAGTGCCCATTCTGTTTACATGTCTCTTTCGTGTTGTTCCGTTGTTCTCGCTAAGATGCACAGGTTCTACATCCAGTCTAGAGTTCAAGAAACCAGACCAGTCAAGAGTATCCACACCAAGGTGCCACCACCGTGATTGGACACTGTTGCCGACACTCCAAGTGGCCGCCACTTGTGTGTACAAATGCACAAAAGCTAAAGGACTATCATCTTTGCCTGAAGGCGTCCATTCTCAGTCAATGTGACCAGGGAACATTGACCGTGGCTTCACGTGCTACTGCCAATGCAGTCTCCATTTTCTTCTCTTGAGGTCACAAGTTTTCCAGTTTTCTGGTGACATCATCTCATCCCTTTTTTGGATGACTCATCCCAGAGAAAAGGAGACGGTCAAGTTTCATGCTTGATAAGGCATCTAATGCTTTAACCTTAAAATACCTAAAGCGCACAGGCCGAGACAACGTAACAAAGTCAACCTAACAGCCACATTGGCGTGGGTGCGCATATCGAAAGTACAGAAATTATAAGACTTTTGGGACCATGGATTCAATCTAACCAGAGTGCAGACAGCACAATTAGACTGCTGTCCGAGCCTGCAGCCCAGATAACACGAATTAATGATTACGTCACTTTCACACTAATATACTATATTTAGAGGGAAATCTGGCACTAGTCTATGCGAGACTCCGCGAGTAACGCTTCAACCAACATAGAATTTTGTTCTTAAGATTTGAGTTCCCTTAAGAGGAGTTAGTGGAGCGTGATGACGAGTCTACATCGCTTTGCAGACTGTCTTCAGCCGATTTTAACGACTTTTCATGAAACATGCCTATAAAAAAATGAGAGCTCTGCACCATTCCTTGCACTCGCATTGAACGCTACATCTATAGCACTGTTCAGTAGAGTTTTCCAGTCTGAATGCAGTGCCAGAATACATAGCTTAGCAGATAAAAAAAAAAAAAAGCAACCTTGATATGGTGTCAATGATAAATGGAACGCGACACGCGCGTTTCGCGCCCTGTGTCTGTCGGCGGATTGTGGTAGGGATACATTGGGGAAGCACGCACGCATCTATTTTCTGCGCGCCCCTAGCGGCGAATGTCAAAGTCTTCGAAACAGGGCAGTGTGAGCAATGCAGCTCCCTCTGGTCAGTGTGCGGTTCCTATACTCTGTTCAGAAGTTCACTTCAGCACTGTGGAGGCTACAGGCTCCTCAGCTAATAGAAAGGGCACTTAGGCCCTCCACACGTTTTCATTCGCCCCGTGTCTCTGCTCACCGCGAACTTGAAAAAGCATGAATTTGGTGCTCTGTTGAAGATCAGTAGTGTGTCAAGCTGGTGGATAACTTCACTTTGTGGCTGTTTCTCTCAGATGCTATTCGTGGCTCTCCTATACCGGTTTCTCTGTCGACGCATTCCTTCGCTTCTCCTATTGCAACGTTTTTCTATTTTTTGTTTGCAACAAAGGAGAATCTGATGCGCACGGAATGCTGTGCGAGGTTGCACGTCCAATATACGGAGGTGCATCGTTCTTGGTCTGACGACGCAGTCGTCAGACCAAGAACGATGCCTCGATGCGTTATGCTTAGTAGTGGTGGCTAAGCAAGCAGCATATCTTGCTAATATCGACAAAACGTACCTCATGCTTTAATGCCAGAGTGAGATGAAACAAATCAATGGCTGATTTGTTTACTGTCGTCAGTGCAGTGGGCATGTTGCAAGAGCAAGCACGGATCGAAGCGTGCAGTCACTTCTGCATGGGTGCTGCCATGTTGATTCGTAAACGCAGTTATCAGCGGTAACCGATACAAATAAATAAATGCAAAGAAGAATAAACATGTATTGATGTGGCATAAAACACACCAAAGAAACGCCAATTTTAGCCAACTTTGTCAACATTAGGGCACTTGTATGTGGGACTATGTTTCACAGTGCAAGCGTGTGGCTTTCGTACAGACTGTAGCTTTGGTAGTGCTGAACTAAAGAGGCCGTTGAAGACCAGGTGTGGGCCGTCCAGAGGGCCGGAGCCGTGACAGAGGACCTCGGAAGATGTTCCTCGAACGATGTGTCCCTGGCAGCCTAGCCCCGTGCACAGCAACAACCGTTGGACAAATGAAGTTCATTCAACTCAACCTATTGAGCTGCACAGGGTTCGTACAGGTTTCAAAAACAAAAATTCAAGGATATTCAAGGACTTTCCAGGACCTATTTCAGGTTTTTCCAGGACTCGAAGCGCATGCAAAGCTGGAATTTTTTTACTAAAAAATTATCAGAAATCACTAACTTTATTGCACTAACAGTAAGTCAATAGATATCAAAATTTTAAAAAATTAGTCTACATCTTGGTAACTAATTTCAAGATGGTTCAGCGAACTGAGAGCACGGGGGTAAACACAGACACAAAGCAAAGAAGAGGCACAAAAGAGCAAAAAAGATGAGCGCTCGTGCTGTGTGCCTCTTCTTTGCTTTGTGTGTGTTTACCCCTGCGCTCCCAGTTCGCTGAACCATCATGAATTACCAATTAGCCCACCTTTCCATCCTATAACTTTTTAAGATCACAAAACTCGATCAACGCATACAAAAGCAGTTGAGATTTCTGCAGTATAGGCTTCAAGTTCACTGAATGTATCCAGAACGTCCAGCACAGAGTTATTTTACTTATATAAGGATAAGTGAATGTATACTACAATGATGTTAATGATGACATGCCGGAAACTCTTCCTAACAGTGCAAATAAATAAAAAAACGCTTGCAACATGCAATTAACTCTTACAACAGCAGCTAAGACTTCTAAAATCTTGGAGAAGTTCACCAAGCACAATCAAAAGATCCAGCCTAATGTTATTTCACTTGCACAAAGATGAATATATAGAAGGTATGCACTAAACGACAGCACTAGTTGTGGAGTTGGTATTTTGCTGGTCCTCGCACTTGCCACATGTGCAAAAAACTAACAGCACTACTTGAGCAATCAAAAACATTTTTTAAATGCGAAGCACCCATCCATCCTGCTTCACCCTCAGTGTGAAGCTGACTTTTTTTTTTGGTGCAACTCTGCAAATAGCAAACATGCACACTCGCACCGCATTACTGCTTCTGAAACGAGTTTGTCAGGTCAACATGCCTTTCTACCCCGTTAAGCAGGTGCCAAGGTCGATACAAGGGTGCACTGCTCAGAAAATTCAAGGGTTTTCGAAGAAAGAAAAAATTTCCAGGACTTTAAAGGGCCTTAAAAATGCATTTTTCAAATTCATGAATTTGCAAGAACCTGTACGCAATGTTGCAGCAGACCAAAAGACCTAGTGGTCTTAAGCCTCTTTCAACAACAAAGGCATCGTTTAATCGATCACTTAACACTGCACTCGACTACCTATGCTACGCAAAGTTACCCCATAGAAGCACACAGGTGTGGGACAAAAAGGCTGAAGACCCACGAGGTGTGGGAAGCACGCACAAAAGAACCATTAAAGACTTTGGGATGCTTTCCTACCAACACATAGGCCCCTAATACTTGGAAAGTAAATACGTCCACAAAGCTTAAACTTACAGGGACGCAGCAAACAGCTGTGAAAGAAGGGCGGTCATGCCGTAGGGGGTCACCTGCACACAGCAACCTTCATCATCTTTTGCTTTAAAGTAAGCTAGGAGTGTCACGTCCAACATATGTACCAGCTTACAATGATTTTTGACATCTTTGCGGGTTCTCTTAAATGATCATTATAAAACTTATCCTTTCCCCAGTGGGAAAGAAGAGTCTCAGCTGGGAAGACCTTACAAGCAGATTCAAGAGAGCCTATTATTGCACAGGCTGTCATTTCAGGAATGCTTTAAGCCAACCAGCTGTCATTACTAAGGATATAAGGATGATAATCCCAAAACCACAATATAGAGATATTGTAGTACAAGTGTGGCAGCATGGGCTAGTTGGTATAACATGATGATAGTTATAGCGCGAGAACAGAACGATGACGCAGAGACAAGGACACGAAGGACACGTGCACTCGTGTCCTCCTTGTCTCTGCATCGTCGTTCTGTTCTCGCGCTATAACTACAGTAGTAGAGGGCCCCAAAAGTTTTGACCACCTGGGGTTTTTTGATGTGCACGTTAATCTAGGTACACATGAGCCTCCATTGAAAATGCCACAGGAGGGTTATTCGATCTTGTGATCTGCGTGTCAACGGTTGAGCATAAGAATGGAAGAAAACTGGAACAGTGACTTCATAGATACAGTTAACACATTTATTTCAAATCATTATCAAAGGCTTTAAGACAACATTTATTCATCAACCAAGGAGATCATACACAAGATTTGGGGAAAAAAAGGTGGCCAGCATCAAGCTGCTCTTTAACGACAAAGTCATGATCTCACAGTAGAAGGAAAGGAAAGCTAACATTGTTTGCTGACACTGAATGCCATAAAAATAAAGAGCAGTACAAGCAAAACGCGCAAAACCGCGATCTTAAAACACACACAAAAAGAAGTCTCAAGTTGGTGTGATCTGCTAGTCAATTTGGCCACAGGGCATCATGCTGCATTTTGAGCAACAAACAGCACATAGCAAAGGTGTAGCAAGAAGGCACGAGTCAGGATGAAAAATGTGTGACTGGCGAAGCGCAAGTGGGTCACTTGGCATCTCAAGGAAGGAGCCTCCACTAATGGTTTGAGTACATAACCAGGTTCAAAGAGTGGCCAACTTCCTCCCAATAGACTGGAGGAGCGAAAATGCTTTGCAACAGCTGTTGATAAACATGACACGTTGTACTACCAAAAAAAGATCCTAAGCGGGAAAATGAGAACTTGCACAGCCATAATGACCACACAGGAGAAGGCAAAAACCACAAGATTGTGGCAGTTGTGCGCAAAGGGCAAAAACTCGTGGCAGTTTGGCAAAAACAGCATATAACGGGAGTGAAAAAAAGCAAGTAGAGAGAAGGATTTGTTGCTTGTGGCTGCCAGTCTGTGCAAGCGGCAGGGGGAGAGGTTGTGGCAGCAGCCTACATCAAAGAGCACCTCTTCTTTCTTTTTTTCTTGACCTGCAAGGCTGCCCTTGTGGCCATCTCAAACACCTCCCGCACGCCCTCCTTAGTCTTAGCCGAGCATTCGAGGTAGCCAAAGGCGCTGATTCTGTCCGCCATGGCACGACCCTCCTCGCTCTTCACAGGCTCCTGCTTCATTTTCGCCAGCTCCTGCAACAAGAGCTTACTGTCAACTGAGCTCCCATGAAACATGTCTCTATTTGCCTAGTAAGTCTCTCATGGAAACCCCACCAATAGCACCATACTTCCTGCTCAGCTAATGCCCCTGAATGATGACGATGTTTGCTGGAATCCCACTTAAAGTGGGTGGTCATCAACTAGGCTTGTCTGCACGTTCTGGAAAGGTTTTGCTGCACCTAATGGGCAATGCATGCCCACATAATGTCAGCAGGGCACTCAACTATATTTCGAGCGCCACTTTCAATTGCTACTAAACTGGTGATTATGAATGCCCACTTCACATTTACTTTCCCCCAGGCATCAGTTCAAATTTATTTCTAATGCCACCACTGAAAACATCAACAGACAAAATCTGAGCCAAATTATAATTTGAACACACCTTAGGTCAAAATTCAGCTAAAATTTTTAAAAAACCACTAAACAACCCCGAGGTCTAAACATTTTATTTAAAAAAATATGTGAACTCTTGCTATGTGAACAAGCTGCCAAAGAATTTTGCAAATATGTGCCTCAATAAGGAAGTTACAGGGTAACAACATCTGTTTCAGCCGGTTTCAAATTACTACGCGTCCGCTAGCCACCCTTCGCCACGAAGGGTGGCAAGCGGCCATCCCATCGTCGCGACTTCGCCACTTCGGCAACTTGCCATGATGTCCGCGATAAGTCATGAGCATACAAACAATGACCGAGAGGGGCTTCCCGCACATAAGAACGCGTCATAGCCGCGCAGCCATAAAATGTGTAGCGGTAAGCTTTAGTTCTGGCGATACCACTTCTCCTGGAGTCTCAGGATCTACAAAACGGCAGAGGACAGCACAGAAAAATGAAAATGCGGACTGCACGGCAGAAACTACATCGCCGCAGGACCAAGATGCTGTTTTGTAGGGCAAATTGACAAGCTCAGTGGTGCGTAACTTGGTCCATGGGCAAGCTTTAGTCGGACTGCGCATATGAGGGGGACTGGTCAGGCGAGAAAAACAGGCGCTGGATTGTTTATCGAAATGGAAGGTCTGTGCTATGGATCACTATACCACTATGGATCACTACAAACTTGCCCCAATTTTTGTGCTTTTAAAGGGGTACCTAACCCAGGCTTTAAAGGTGATACAAAATCGAGCTGCTTGTTTTTACAACATTGAAATATGAATGCTGACTGATCATCACTAACATCAGACTTTCAAACGGTCTAGCCCCGATGACATCCTGCCATCTTACAGCAAGCTTGCCTTTTCCATAAGCTACAGTACAACTATACTCAATTGCACAAGCACCTAATCCTAGATCCAAGATTATCACAACATTTACTTAAAAGAGCCCTGACAGCGAAAAATTTGTTAGCAGCATTTTCACAGCGATTTGTAGCTTAGAGTCTAGTAATGCCGAAATTAAATCAATGCTCCAATGCATCATACAACTAATGCTAGCATCGTTAATTCAGAGCGATATTGTATTAGTTTGAAACGCCCACCTGAATACCACTAGAAAATAGCGCCCCACTGCAAGGCAGCGCCTGAGATGACGTGCACTTAAGCTTTGGCGAGGCTGAATGAGCTGGTTTAAATTAGAGGACCCGCAGGCGATGAAGAATGGAACAATGTGGGTGTTTTGAGCCTGTCCTCCTCAGAAAAAAGAAAAGCATTCCTAGCGTAACCAGCCAAAATCACCTTCAGAGCGAGGGTTGACAAACAATAGTCCTCACCGTATACCATTCGAGGCATTGTGCGTGCCCAGCAAAGGTTTTCTGATGTTGATAATCTTTGCTTGACCTCTGCAATGCCACGCGAAGACTACTGTATACCTCAAACAAAAAATGTCGATTGAACTTTAATACTTGGATAAGCATTGATCATTAATTTAAAGCTAATTAAAACATCTTATTGGCAATGCCAGCCACTAATAATCTGGCAAGAGACCTCCACATGCAGGACTATCATACTACAACACAAGCACCTCGAGTTTCGAAATTTGGTGTCAGGGGTCGGTCAGTCTCAGCGTGCGTGAACTTCTTTCAGAATGTGTTAGCAGGCTGCAGATGACAGGGATCGGTGGTGCGGGGCCATGGGGGGTTGTCGGGCGAGGCAGTTAGAAAGCGCTAACAGTTTCCTTGAATAATTGCTTTGAGAGCTTTTCTGAGGGAAGCTCTCAAAGCCTGACTGTTTTAAGTCCACGGTGGACTTAAAAACAGTCAGGCGAGCGTCACGGTCTGGGCCATGTCTGAGGTGACCAAAGAGCAGAAGTGGGATATTGTGTTGCGTTCGTCGGCGATAATGGTCAATGCGGGTGGTTCTGCCGAAGGAGAGCGTCCCGCGAATTCCTTTTCTCCTTGACGAGTGCAAGGAGAGGGGGCGTACATTCTTTGTATGGTTGTCTTTCAACTGCTTGGGAATGCTGCACGATTGGCGGACGGAACAGAGGAGGTTGATTGAGCTCAACCCGAATGGATGGTCGTGTTGAATGAAAGCTGCCTTCAACCCGACTCCAACTCTTCCTTCGCCTTGCCAGCATGCACTTGGATCACCAAGGAGCTGTCGATACCAACATCAAAACCAAACCGTTTCCTTTAACTTTCGCAATGTTCGGCTAATGCTTTCAACAAAATTCTCCCGAAGTCTATATCAGACCGGAATGTACTTCCCCACGGTATCGTCATTGAGAGAAAAATTGTTATTACAGCAATATTGCCAGCTGCCCCCGTAGTAGCTCTCTGTATTCTCATAGACCTCATTTTTCATGTGTGCATTGTGCTTCCCTGTTTATGCAGGCTGTATTTATGCCCTTTAATCCTGCGACGTTTTGATACCATTTGTTACCATGCACCTTCCCCTCGTGTAATGCCCCATCAAGGCCCTCAAGAATATACAAATGGTGATGATAACTAATTTTGCTTTAAATTCTTCAATCATACATGTTATGAAACATCCCACCGGCCCAATGTATCAAAATTCAGATATGCCATTTGCCAAAATTATAAACTCTGCAGATTGTAAAGTCATCTGTTGACCAAAAAACAAATTAATAACGTACTTTAGTCTTATTATCTCTGCTCCCACATGGTGCAACAATCTGTTGACCCCCAAGAAATTGGCCACAGGCAAGTCTGGGTTTTGAAATGCAGTTTCTGAACTAATATGATTGAAAAAGTAAGATATTGCTTGCTTCTAAACAAGCATCCTCAGAGTTTAATTGGAAGTGCATTTCCCCTACAGCAGTGGTGGTACATAGTACATAGGTTTTGGAGCATTCTTGGGAGCAGGCAAATGTGCCTTTGTAGCTGGCTTGGAACACCAACAAAGACATTCTGGAGCAGTCCGAGAGAATGTTCACTGCAGATGTAGCCCCATTGCACAGCACTTTTGAATTTGTGTAATGCTGCATTTTCCAAACACTAAGTGACACTGAGCACTAGCCTTATCATTGTGATAGCAATTCTATAGATACTTTCACGGCCATCATGTCCCGGCCATCATGTCCCGTTTAAAGTTCAAATTGATAATGTCCCGTTTAAAGTTCAAATTGATAGCATGTCCCTGCCCATCCTACATTCTACTCGCAGTAAAAGTGCGGGAGTTGAGGTGACAAGTGCCTCAACTTTCCGGAACAATGAATCGCTGCCACTTACAATGAATCGCTGCCAATGAATTTCCGGAACAATGAATCGCTGCCACTTACACAACTACCAATGAGCCTAAAAGCCATGGCCCTCTGTGGAGAGTGTGTTTTGCCACCATAACTCAACTTGCACAACAGAAGCTCTGTTGGCACGGAGCATAACATTGTGAATTACTTGGAATGCACGCGTGACCGCTGTTTATCCAAGGGAATATTTCTTGGTACAGTGTTGTGATCTTGGCAGCCAAGCTGCACATCCCTTAAAGCGCTGGCATGGTTGTTGTTGGCGACAGACGACCCCAACCCGAGACCTTAGTGCACTTTATGCAATTTCAATTGATATTATCAGGATGGCAGAGTGAATCTAATTTGGCGCAGGAATGAAACTCAGTCAGGTTCCATTGCTCAGGCCTGTTTAAGGGGTGGCTGCCGTCACTGTTGATGGCCCCCACCCCATAAGTAGGCCTGAGCACTTTGTAATGGGTAGGCCTTCAAACCACCTACTCATGGCGCAATTCCCGTGCCTTTATGGCAAATGCAATTCTACACTTACACTCAATATTACAAGAGCTTAGGAGACTCCTTGCACTACATGAAATTCTTGTTTTTTTTTTTTCGAAATAGTTTTAAGCTGTCTTGTTTTTTTTTTTTTTTCGAAATAGTTTTAAGCTCTGTGGTAGAACACCTGCTTGCAACGCAGAAGGCTTGGATTCAATTGCAGCTCGGACTGAATATTTTGTTATTTTTTAGTTAACTTCTTTTGCATCCACGTTGATATTTAGCACACAGACAACACAAACGTTTTACTTACAAATAATGCTGATGCTGACACCAGAATTTCTGTGAAATTAGCTCTTCAACATGGTCGTGTTAAAACCTGCCAGGCCTACATGAAATGCTCAACATAGTGCCAGCGAAAGCTGGAAGAGCGGCCTTTCTAGAGCCTTTTTAAACACTCTTTGGGTAACCGCTACAAAGCACACTTGCAGGGTACCCAATACTGAATGAATTTCGTGCAGTAGAGAGGCATTTGCTGTGCCACCTTCCATAATTCTTTGGAGAACTGTGGTACCTGCTATACACATGCAAAAAATTTTGTGCAATTTTTGGATGTAATGGCTGACGAATTATACCTAAAGCTTTTGTAATGGGTTGGAGCATTTGGTAACCCACTCGTTTTGCAATTCACATTGTGCGACGCTTGGTCGTTGCCTTTGCTGTTTTATAACACTTTATTACTCGTATTATTACAATTCCTTTCCCAACACGAAGACTGCCTAGGGTCAGTTAGCAACGCAGTTTAAAGCACCAGCGTGTGTTGGTGGTAAAATACTTGGCTGGCACAAAGGGGACCTGGGTTT